ACCACACCAGTACTTGCAGGCCTGCTGCTGCTGCTGGTCCTCGTTAAGCATGTCCATTGCCAGTAAGTCCTGCTGTGGCTACCATGATGCAATGATCACTTTTGGAGGATCAACGATTCATGATGTGGTCTTGAAGGGTGCTCCTGAAGGTGCCTGAGGAGCAGCTGGTCTCGAAACGCCGCCTCAATAGCCTCCCCTGCTGCGGGGAATACCCCCAAGCACAGCTTCCATGGCAGCTGGCGGGCGGAGACGGTTCCTGTAACTGCACCGACAGTCATGGCTCATGGAAACTGCTGCAATCCCACTATATGTTGACAGCAACCGTTTTTGCTCTGATCAAGCCAGTCCTCCCACCCCAAAGAAGGGCTCCACGGTAGAGGCTTCTGTCGATTCGCCAAGCCCTTCAGCCTGCCCAGCAAGATCAACTTTCTGCGAAACCAAGCCACTTGCAGCATTCAGTACTTAGTGCTGCCTCTCGGGGTCTTGGCCACGGCTCCCTGTTGTTCAAGACTTCCACGGCAAGCAGGGCACCAGTGGGTGCATCAATCACCCACATCGGAGTCTCCTTGCAAGGGAAAGCCAATCACCGAATCTACTCACATGTCCAACACGTCATAGGTTTGAGCTCCTCATCTGCCAAGGAGAGAACAGGTGTCCACTCTGCAAGTCCGTTTGCACACCAGCTGCCAGCACCACTGCCTAGAAGCGCGCGAACCACGCCCGAAGTGTCTGGCAGGTCCAAGTCCGTTCACTGAGCGAGTACGCTGCCACACCAACCAAGCTTAGTGGCATGAAAAACAATCAGCCGGCTATTCATGTTGGTCACGCTATCAGACATTCCATCATGGGCCAACATGCCGGCAGAACCAACTGTCAGAGGAACAAAATCCTCCGAAATTCCCAGCCAGCGCAGTCGAGCCCCGTCGCCAAGTGGCAAATGTCCAGATGCTCTGTGCGCCCTGAGCATATTGCTCTCATCATCAGCTTAATCTGCATGCCAACTCAGCAAGGGCAAATTGCCTCGATTTCACGTCGAGAAGTTGAAAATCGAGCTCGTTGTCCTGGTCTGCAATCACACCTCTAACAATGCGCCTCAACCCTTGACTGTGCTGCTCCGGCGAGGTCACCATCTTGAGGCAAAATGAGGCAAAATGCGCGACACACCATGCTTTGGCGCGAGCCGCTGAACTGAGCCATATGTGCACAGGCCCTCCTCGACATCTGTTCCAGGCGATCGCGTCACAGCCAGCAGCATGCTGCCCCTTGCAGCGAGGGCAACGCCATCGCCAGGCCTGAAAGGTCAGAAGCTTCACCAAGCCTTTGAGGCTTTGAGCTCCAGTCTTTTCAGCAACAGCTTCTGAGACTGCTGCGTGCTCAGCAAGCCTAAAGGCAAACCACTGAAGCTGTACCTTACCATGGTGAGCGTGATGCCCTTGAACGCCCCTTCTCAGCTAGACCCAGACTAAGAAGCCGGCAAGCGCAGCGAGCGTGACGAAGTGAGGACCTAATGCCAAACTGCATCTGACCAGCTGAGCAAGTCTTGCTTCAGAGGGAGCACCGCCACAAAGTCCTCACCACAGGCAATAGCCTCGGGGCTCTCGGCAGAGCCAAGCGGCGCAGAGAAGAGCGCCTGAGCGTGGCCAAGAGCAGAGGAAGCCACTTGCAGCAGGAGACAACCAAGCCTTCTCCCACCGCTGCGTGGGGCGTATTACCACGCGAGACCTCAGCAAGCTTTGAATTTAGACTCTAGACACTGCTTTGCAGACAGCCAGAGCTGGCCAGACTATGCCGCGCACCCTCCTGATGCTGTGCTCCTGGCTGCCAAACAAACAGCGCCTGCGAGTAAGAATTAAAAAACCTTGCACCCGGAGCTGTGCGATATCTGACCAGGTGTGCCTGCTGACATAGCTGCCAAGTGGAGGCCATCGTAGTCTGGCAGGCCCTGCGGAGGGCTTTTGAACATGTGCCCCATTGCTAGCTGCGAAGACTGGGCGGTCGTGCCACGGGCTTCTCATCTCGCCGCCAAACCTGAAAAAGATCGACATGCAAAGAATGAATCGCGTGTGTAGCTTACGGACTATGACTAGGCCTCGAGGCGGAGGAGGTCCGGGAAGCTGGCCACATGCCCGAACCCCTGGCAGAGGGATGTTCCAAATTCACACGTCTCTCAGCACAAGTTCTCCGAGAGCATGGCGTTCCACGCAAGGAATCGAGGATGGCTGGGTGGCCGAGCAGTTCCCTGACAGCTCCAAAAGCTTCCGCAAAGAAACAGAAGCAAACGATTTCAGCCCATGCTTTCAAGAGCACGTTTTTGTAGAGAAGTCAGTGTACTACAATGCTGGCCTGCGGACGCATCGAAACCCCTGTATATGCCACTGCCTGCCTCCAGCTGCTGCCATGCCCCATCTAACGTCGCCTATCAGCATCGCAAATGGACGATGTTGCTATGACTAATGACTCTACACCAGACCTCTGCCTGCACTCCGTCCTCATGCTCGTTCCCAACCGCTTCCTGCAAGGAGTTCTACGGGTGCGGAGCAATGTCTCTGAAACCAGATAACAAGAACAAGAAACTCGATGATTTGCTTTAGTTGGAAACCGACACTGGGCTTGGGTCCATGCACCTGATCGTCGTCAGCAGTGCTGTCCAGACCGTGTGCAGACATCTGCCTTTCAACAGGAGAGCTCGTGGCAAATGCCCGTGAAGTCATCTCCGTAGATCCCTTTACGCACAGCTGAGCCAAGGACCTCAACAAACAGACAGCTAGCCGCTGCCCGGGCGCAAACTCTTCATGAGCAACTGGTAGAACCAAATTCCGAGGCCGGCGTCGAAGGTAGCTCCCAAGCTCTAGTCTGCAGGAGAGTATCCGCACACAATCAAGCTGATACTTGTAGGATGAACGGCATCTTGGAGCTTTTTCCCTCGTACAAACACTTCAGGTCCCGCGGGTCCAGGCAAAACCGCACACCTTCATGTCTACATTTGGAGCCTCCAGTCGCAGCCGTCTCAGCAAAGAATCACACACAGTACACGGACAGCAGAGCTGCAGCCTCGAAACTGCTGAGACCCCAACAATATGTTTACAAACGTCTGGGAGTTTCCTTGGCTGGCAGGAAGGTCCCACACTCAAAGCCAACCGGGCAAGTCTAAGAGCGCCACCAGAACATCAGCACCCATTTTCTCACGAGCGGAATCCCTGCGCGCAGAAGAACTCCAGCCCCTCCACCCCCACATGAGTGGCCCTGCCCAATTCTTCGTGATGCCAGACTTCCGTGCGCCACTTGTCATCATCTTCTCAACCAACCAGTACTTGCACAGCTAATGCGTCATGATTGCCTCAGCGCTCCGAAGCACAGCTCGCATGCAGCACTATCCGAACAACGGACCAAACCAATAGCCAACATCCAGGACCAGTCTGCAGAACGACACAAAAACAATGATGCAAAAACAAAACCAACAAGAAGAAACTATAGGGTCGAAAGCAGCACAAGAACTGAAATAGTGCAATTTGTACCGTCCAAGGGGTCTGCCCACAGGGCTACCTCAAATCCAGGAATCTATACGCCGCGACTTTGTCGGACATGGCCCGTCAGAATTGAAGGATCCACGAAATACATTACGCGAACTCAAATTGGGATCATGTCTAGAGGGCCGTTCCCAAAGCTGGCCATAAAAGCTGTGTTCGGTCGGGCCCGGCCTTATCAGCAAGACTAAAATCAAGGGCATGTCATACACCTCCTCAAACTATGGAATTTGATGAAGCATCAGGAAAATGCACTAGTGCGGACTTCTGTCATTGCTAAATGTCGAAGCAAGCATGAGCATTTTTGTCAACAGCTGAGGGTTACGGATAGCTGTTGTATCTTGACACTTTCACTTTGTCTTGCAGGAAACCACCACCGTGGACTCTGAGCGTCACACCCTCTATTCGCTTACAGGCGTAATGGGTATCGGCTGGCAAATCGCAAAGTTGCGAAAAAATCACCACTGCAAAAGCGAGCGCAGCACTCGCGCCATAACCCGTTTGCAATACTTGAACCGTATCCATGAAATGCCTTTCAATTTTTGAAATGCAAGCAAATGATAGCAAATGCACATTCGAAGCTCTCAAACGCTGCACAGCAAGGCAGCTTCTGCTTCAGCTTCTTGAAGCTTCAATGCAAATTCACAAGCAGATACAATCAACGCGCCACATCTGCCTTGATTTTCTAACCGCTCTTTCTGACATCCTCCTAAATGCCGAATGCATGATTTTGAGAGTTTTTTAGGCCGAAGATTCAGCAAATACAGCTAATGGCTAAGGTTCGGAATCTGCAGATCTGCAGGCTTGTCTTCAAACGACAACATTCCCGTAAAATCCACACGTTCAGCCCTTGTAAAATGATCACGTTACGAGCCCTTCTAAGGTTCGTCGTCGCAACCAGCCTTGCCCTTGCCAGCGCGGTTCCTCCGCATGCCACCAGGGCGGGGTGGTCGACGAGCATCTCCAAAGGTCTCCCTGGAGGCTTTGGGTTTCAGGTTCAGGGAGGAGGATCTATAGCTTCATGATTGGGGAGGCAGGACTCATTGGGCATGAGTGCTTCCCAAATCACATGAGCAACTCCGAGGATGTTTTTACTGAAGAAAACTACTTCAGAAGCCACACTTGGCTACAGCCGGATCATCACAACATCTCAAGTGTCTACCCCGCCTGTCCATGCTGCGCATCTTGGCAACATCAGCCTATGCACACAGCCCGCAATGTAAGCAGAACATAGACTGGCGCAGGTTGACAAGTGCTTTCCCTGAAGCCTTTTCTCAACCAGCATCTGCCACGCGCGCTTGCAGGATGAGGGATAATGTCTCTCGCTCTCGAATGCTGCTGTCATTGTCACTCCCTCTAAATCACATTGCCCTACCTCTAGGCATTCGGATAGATGCTCAGCTACATGAGTGATAGTCGAAGCGGTACCCATTATTGACATGACTTCCGATAATTCCATTGACCCACAGGCAGCTCTCATTTAACGGCCAGCAGGATCTCTTTGTCCTGAACAGAAATTCTACTTCCTTTTCTGTTGTCATCATGCAAAGGTGTCGCATGGAGACAGAACAGTAGACAAGATCCTTCTGCAACTCCTCCGATGCATGCCAGAGCCTTGGTGGCCAAGAACCACTCTTCAGAGCATCACCTTTCGGTTCCCTGAGTCCCTGGGTCCCCTGGCGCAACATGGCCGCCTTCGGCCACAGCTTCCATCACCACCTGACACAGCGACCAGCACCAGCTTTTCCTGAACATCCTCAAACATGCAAAGGACAACAAGCGTTTACTAGAGCTGCCTCCTTGTCACTCTTAAGCGAGTCATGTGCAAACACGAGAGCCTCCATCAAAGAGTTGCACGACAATTCAGAGCACACCTACTGCAGTCACGAAGGACGAATCGCTCCTTGCCATTCTGGCGCACGGCCGCCAGTACCACCTGTCCAGATCAAAGACAAAATTGCAGGACGCAAATAACAGGAAGCAAAAGCATGCAGACGCAAGTCAGAGAGTCAGCAACGCTTTTGCTTGTCAGGTCCACCTCGCGGTCTTTGCGAAGCTCTTCAGGCGCAAACACGAGGACCTGCTGCCAGGTATCTGAAATCCCAGGAAGTGTTGACTGGCACTCATTGCATATATTCTGGCCTTGCCGTTCTGCTTAACTGCTGCAAGGACAATCTCCTGCAAGCAATAAATCGATCCTGCCAAAACCATACGTAGCTAAACGACAGCTCGGCCCGCTGCTCGATCAGCTCTCATATGTTGCGAGGCTGATCGGAGCGCGTAGCCATCGACCTCTCCAGCAACGTTGCACTCTCCCCCCTTGCTACACTTCTTGTGAAAGCACTCACTAACCAGAAACCTGCACTTCCGCAGAAGCCTACTCTGGACAATGACAGGCTTACCGTCACTCCCACAATGCACAGTGGGGCGGCAGATCTTCTAAAACTCCACGATGCCCAAGCTTGCCATACCCTGCCTTGACAGCGTTCAGCAACGCGTAACGTTCGGAAGCCAGCGCGGCCTCTCGTACGTCGGGGTCGGCTTTCAGGTCCTGCATGGCTCTTTGTGCCGGAAAAGCCAGCAAATTCTGGCAGTCTCCTCAGCGACATTCTGGAAGGCCTTGCCAGGTTCGTGTACGAGTCGGTTCTCCCAACGAGTAAGCCGGGCAGCCGAAAGTAGAAGACGCAATCAGCAGCCTTGACGTTGCTCTCTACTGCCCGCAGCGCCACCAATTTGTTCGCGCGAACCTCTTGTCATGCTGAAATGTCCGTCGTCTGGCACTTAGGGCTCTCACTCACGTACAGCCTGGTCCGGTAGCAAACCCAGAGTGATGCCGTCTTCAGCGACTGCCTGTGGCCGATTTCTGTGAGAACGTGACCAACATGGCACTGTTGCGCCTGCAGGGCAATGTCCATCTCCTGCTGCATCCTTGCTTTCAAATGTTCGCAGTCAAAGCAAGTTGTGATAGTCACAGATAGGAACCCCACCCATTGGAAGCGTAGGACACTGCATGCCCGTCCTCGCTTGCTCCAAGAACATGAAAAGCACATGCCAGTGCCAGCTACATACGCAGGCAAATGATGACGTTCTTCATGCAAAGCGGCAGGAGGCAGACTCTGATAAAAGACTCCCTTCGAAGCAAGGACTCAACGCTTTGTCCGGCTCCTGCTTGACAGCGGCAAGGACTATGTCCTCCAATGCGTTCGAGATCATCAAGCCATGTAATTAAAGCCTGCACCCTTCAAATGTCGAGTCATGGCATGTTAGAGTCTTTGCCTTCTCTGCACGCTGAGAATCGCTCAGGTACACGAGTGCATGTCCGTCTGCGCGAAGGGCCTGCATGCTGAGCGTGCCAAACTCTTGAAACTCTTGACCCTATACAATCAGAACAGCAGCTGCGCCTCTTTCACCACGTCCGGATCTGTTCGAAGCTCTTCATCGACCATGGCCAGCGCATGCCTGCAGACAATTCAGCACAATCTGAAAGTCTACGGATAGGCGTTGCCGGGTAGCTCGTCCTGCTCAGATCATACTGCGAGCAGGCATACGTCTTTCGTCAACATTACTACGTCCGCTGGCCAAAGTTGCACAAGATTGCTGTAACATACTTATACTGCTAACCTTAGCGGGATCTTTCTTGCCAGTACGGCTCATTGTTTGGTTCTTGTTCGTCTGGTGTTCTGCTCTAGAGGACTTGCGTTGCTTCTTGTGCTGGTCGCCTTGGGCCTTTCGGTTTACCTGCTGGCTCGAGTAAAGAAATTGTTCGAACTTTAAGAGACTGTCCGCCAATAATGCGCAGTGGTTGCAGTAGCAACCGTTGCAACAGTAGTAGCTCATCGTGTCACAGCGTTACTCAATCCAAATATAGATAGGAGAACTCGTAAGCATCATAGCCTTTCTGTATAGGCGAAGAGCCACCATGCTGAATCTACACACCTATGCGTCCAAAAGAATGTTCAGAAACTAAAGCGAAGCTGAACAAATTAAAAAAGTCTCAAAGCGATAACAAATGAAATAAGTTTAACTTCCAGTGCACATGTCACATAGTAATCCATGAAGGCATCTCGCACGTGAGAGCAGTCGTTTTGCGCAAGAATGAAAAATGATACTCAAAACCAAACCAGTAGCAACGGTGACGGTCGCAGTAAGAACGGCAAGAACAGCAATGAGTCACAAGAGAAGTATAATATTCATTTACAAGCTGCAATTAAACTTGAATGTTATGAAGCCGTATCGATGGTTGCGATCCAAGAGACTGTGATAGAAATCATCAGCGCAACAAACATGCGCATGTCAACAATGTTGATGCTAATATTGACACACACAGAGTCATGGGATGATCAGTACTTGTAGCAACCGGTGTGAAGAAAATAGGAGTAGTAGTTACACAAGCAGGAGTAACGCTAGTCATGCCCAAGCAAGGCAAGATGGCAAAAAAAAGGGCCGTGACGCGTTCGTCACTCCGTTTTTGCTAGATGTCACGGAAACCATGGATTCTTGGGGAGTTGTGTGTTGACTCAAGATGACTGCTTCAGAAGACGTGACCATGTCCGCAACTTTCATGGTGTTCATGCGCAAGTGGAATGCTTGGCTTTGGACGTCTTATGGTCGTTTTAAAGCGACTTGATGCTCGGAGAACTTGACTGGAAAACGAAGTTCTTTGCATTGCGTGATTTTCTGTCGAGCTCTGCATCGCAGAGACGCTCGGAGTGCATGGCAGTTTTCGTGCTGCCAACGCAGCAACTCGCCAAAGTGGGCCATATCATATGGCTTTGTCTCCCAACACCAGCCACGCGCCAGCATGCGATCCACTTGTGCCATCCAGAGCAGAAGGACACAACGCTGCCAGCCCTTTATTTGGCCCCGATTTGGGGAGGTGAGGAATGCTCTCACGCATGGACGTCATTATGCTTTGGGCATGGATGCTCTGGTCACCGTATGCTCTCCGGGATGGACCTTACCATGCTTTGGGGCACCAGAATGGACATTATTCTGCTTTAGGCCCTGTTGCTCTTGTCACCGTATGCTCAGAGACGGAGATTATCATAGTTTGGTAACCGAAGGCTCTCCGGGATGGGCATTGTTATGGTTTGCGAATGCGTGCTCTGGTAAGCAAATCCTTCTGTGGATGCACGTTATTGAGCCTTGACCTAAAGCGCATGCACAACTGTGTGTGACCAGAAGTACTGCAGGGCGAATTCTTCTCTGCCTGTTTCGCGCGCAGCCTGGCTAGAAACAACAGCCAGGCTACAAGCAGTCGAAAGCATAGACAAAGTATGAACACTTGGCACCGTAATATCAACACAAAAAAGAGCAATGATTTGACTTTTGGAAGGCGTGAAATCCTTGGCCCTCGAAATAAGATGTGTGACCCATACAATAAACAATAATCGCCTCCCATAAAAATCCTAGGAGGGGTTATGTCTTGAAAGCCCAAGAATGCTTGATGGTTTCTATTACAAGAACATCCCTGTATAACTAGAAAACTAACGCAACATCTAATTAGATTTCCGTTCCAATGTCCATACTCAATTAAATATGAACACGGCCTTCTGAAAATCTAGCACCTCAAGAAATGAAGGCCATTCCGAGTGACAGAAAATTTCTTCTTTGAATCGCTTATAAAACATTCCAAGCTAGATGCTGAAACAACCTTGTGAAAATGAAGCAGATAACTCTACGAATAACGTGGAGGAACAATAAGAAAGCTTAGAAAGCAAGACAAAACTCTGATTTAACGGATTCTTTTCCATGTAAATTCCTTGATACATTAAAAACCTAGGGAAGCAAAAGAATCCCTAGTCCCGCGCGATTCCTCATCACAATTCCACAATTCCTGAGAACCCACGTTACTCCGGCCAGGATTTAAGTCGAGAGTATTCCGCAATTTTCCTGATGACGGCCCCCATCTTCCCTTAGAACCCCTCGCAATTTGTTGTTCATAACCGTCTGAAGCGATTTCATTGGCCTCTTGTACGAGTTTAAGGCAATCTTTCAGTCTTTCAGGATTTTAGGCCTCCAGATTTTTCAGCCATTACTGTTTAGCTTTGTAAATGATTGGGGCAGCCATGGCATTAGAAGTAGCTGTAGGAGTAACCGCAGCTGTCAAAACATCAAAGCAGAAGAATCCATCATCACAAGCATAGCTATTTGAGTCGAGATACCTGCAAAAACGAGGCAAATCAAACCAAAGTGGTTCGAGTCCGAAGCGCTTGGGTTGACACGTTCAACCTTCAAACCATAAAGCCATTGAAATGATAATCCATCAAATCATAAAACCATTAAATCGTCAGTCCATCCAACCATTTAACCCGCTAGCCGTTAAACAAACAGTCCAGTAAGCCATTCAACTGTTGAACTATGGAACCAATAATCCCCTCCCCCTCATATTAAACCCCCCCATCCCCCCGAATATTAAACCCTCCCCATTGTGGTATATCATAGTATATTGGGGAACATTTAATATTCGTGGGGTTGGGGAGGGTTTACTATTAGGGTGAAGGGATTAGCGAGAGTGACTTGGTTTGATGGTTTCCTGGGCTCCAGATGGACAAACATCCATCAACTTGCTGGGGGTTAGGAGTAGGGACTATATGCGGCTGATGGTCCCTTGTTCCCTATAAGCCCCCAGTAAGTTAAACCATTACGCTCTCAAACCAGTTAGCCATGAAAACAATGATTTTTGGACCCATATTGGAAACCCACAAAACCATTGAAACAACTCGTCCCTTATTCGTGGGCCCCTACATCATAGGTTTAACGGCTCGTTTCATGGCCGAAGAATTTTCGTGTTTGGCGAGTTCTTCTATACTAGGAACATTCGGTTCAATAGCTGGTTGACTTCGTGTGTCCGAAACGGGATAGCCGTCTAGGGTGTCCAAGGAACTCTGCTGACAACCAGTTACTCCTGACAATAAGGACAAGCGACCAAACAAAGTACAAAAAAAAATGGCTACGGCGACCTTAAGGGGCCGTGCCAGTAAGCAACTTTTGCTTCAAAGCTTGAGAGGTTGAAAGTGCTACGAGCTGTATTCCAGACTTCAATATTTTTTTGGCATTTTATCATGCGTTTAATGCAAATTTGAAGGGGATTTCTATAAGGGGGGTCCCTGTTTTAAAAGAGTTCGTAGCAGCTTGATTGCAGGAATCGAGCTGGCGCTATGGGCAAACCTCTAGTTCTGGAGGACTTCACAGGCTTTGCGCGCGCGCTTTTTCTAGGCGTCTCTTGTGAGCGCCCCCAGCTTTGCCAACAGGCACGACACTCCGACCGACTTCCGTCAGAGAGTTGGTGCAGGTACTTCATGGCCTGCGGCTCGCCTCGGACGTGTCTTCTATTGGACAATGTCCTGTAGTCGCACTGCTTCAAGTGACCCCAGCGACGGTCCAAAAGTTGCGTGCCTTAGGCGGGCCATGGCGGGCCCATCATGGCCTCCCCCTCTACTGTGGCACACGTGCTTGACACCCAAAGTACCGCCAGTTCTGCGGGCAGCGTATGCTCTTAAAACACGAACGCCATTATGGTTTGGGCATGGATGCCCTAGTGACCACATGCTCTTGGAACAAAACGCAATTATGGTTTGGGCATGGATGCTCTAGTGACCGTATGCTCTTGGAACACGAACGCAATTATGGTTTCGGCATGGCTGCTCTGGTGAACGCATGCTCCTGGAACACGAACGCAATTATGGTTTGGGCATGAATGCTCTGATGACCGCATGCTCCTGGAACACGAACGCAATTATGGCTCTAGTAACCGTGTGCTCTTGAAACACGGACACAAGGTTTGCACCTGGATGCTCTAGTGACCGTATGCTCTTGAAACACGGACGCCATTATGGTTTGGGCATGGATGCTTTGGTCAGCGTATGCTCTCGGAACACGAACGTTATTATGGTTTGGGCATGGACGCTTTGGTCAGCGTATGCTCTCGGAACACGAACGATATTATGGATGCTGTAA